ACTACTTGATTGTGAAACAACACTGGGTAGCTTTTGTTAAAAATTATAACAAAAAGAAAACTGGCATATTAGACTTAGTCTATTAGGATGTATGCGGACCCATAAATAAAAAACTTTTAGTGGTGCCTCATACTTTGTGACCTTCATAGATGATGTATCTAGAAAGGTGTGGGTGTATGTCATAAAAACCAAAGGTCAAGTCTTTGAAGTTTTCAAAGACTTTCATACCAAAGTTAAAAGAGAAACCGAAAAGCTCTTGAAGTGTATTCACACTGATAATGGTGGTGAGTATACTTCAAGGATGTTTGAAGACTATTGTTCTTTTTATAACATTAGACACCAAAAGACTGTTCCACACACATCACAAAACAATAGGATTGCAGAAAGGATGAACCACACAATTGTGGAAAGGATAAGGAGTATGCTATCCTTAGCTAAATTACCAAAAATATTTTGGGGAGAAGCAATACGAACAGTCTGCTGCTTGATAAACATGCCCCCTCAGTTCCCTTGGATGGAGATATTCCTGAAAGAGTTTGGAGTGGAAAGGATATTTCCTATTCTCACTTGCGTGTGTTCGGGTGCAAAGTATTTGTACATGTACCTAAGGAGAAAAGAACAAAGCTTGATGATAAAGCTATTCCATGCATCTTCCTAGGATATAGAAATGATGAATTTGAGTACAGGTTGTTTTTTGTGAGGAGCAGAGATGTTGTTTTTTGTGAAGATAAAACACTTGTTGATTTTAAAAAAGAAAAGAGCCACAAAACACTCATATCATCCCAGATCCAATCTCTACACTGGTTGTTTTTCCTTCTCCCATGCTAGAAAATAATGATTTTCAAGATGTGCAAGAAGAAGAAATTGCAGGTTCTCTAGGTTTTGATCAGGGGGAGCATGAACATCCAGAGCCACCATATATAGATCATCCACAAGTACCTCAGTTGAGACGGTCAGAGATAGAACATCAACCCTCGACTAGATATCCTGCTTTAGAGTATACTATGGTAACATATGCATGTGAATCGGAAAGTTTCCATGAAGCACAAGTTCATGATGATCGTGCAAAGTGGAAGAAAGCTATGCAATAGGAGATAGATTCTTCGCATAAGAATCACACTTATGACTTGGTAGAGCTACCTAAGAACAAAAAAGACTTGAAGAACAAATAGGTGTTCAAAATCAAGAATGAAGGAAATGGCCAAGTCAAGTACAAAGCTCGCCTTGTGGTGAAAGGTTTTAGTCAGAAACAAGGTGTTGACTACGAAGAAATTTTTTCTCCTGTTGTAAAGATGTCTTTTATTCGGGTTATTCTTAGTCTTGTTGCTTCTCAGGATCTTGAAGTTGAACAGTTAGATGTGAAGACAACATTCCTCCATGGTGATTTGGCAGAAAAAATCTATATGGAGCAGCCAGAGGGTTTCAAGGTAAAAGGCAAAGAACACTTGGTTTGTAAATTGATAAAGAGCTTGTACGAACTCAAGCAGGCACCTCGACAGTGGTATAAAAGGTTTGATTCTTTTATGCTTGATCATGGGTACAAAATAACATCTGTAGATCATTGTGTTTATGTCTAAAAGTTCTCGGATGATGATTTCATTATTCTCTCTCTATATGTTGATGATATGCTTATTGTTGGAAAAGATATGTCTAAAATTGATAGGTTGAAGAAAGAGCTGAGCAAGTCCTTTGACATGAAGGACTTAGGAGTAGCACAACATATAATGGGAATAAAGATTTCTCAAGATAGAAGTGCGAGAAAGTTATGGCTACCAGAAAGATACATTGAACATGTTCTGGAGAGGTTCAATATGTTGAACTCTAAGACAGTCAGCACACCGCTAACAGCTCATTTTAAGCTAAGTACACAACAAAACCCTTCAAGTGAGAAGGAGAAGGAGGAGATAAAGAGCATTCTATTTGCCTCGACCGTCGGAAGTTTAATGTACTCCATTGTTCGTACAAGACCCGACATAGCACATGCAGTTGGAGTGGTAAGTCGTTATCTTGTCAATCCTGGTAAAGAACAATGGGAAGTAGTAAAATGGATCCTAAGATATCTTAGAGGAACCTCTAAATATTCTTTATGTTTTGGAGATGGAAAAACCTAACTTGGAAGGCTACACTGATTCTGATATAGCAGGTGACTTGGACAAAAGAAAGTCCACATCAGGATACTTATTTACCTTTGTAGGGGGGCCGTATCATGGCAATCAAAGCTGCAAAAGTGTATCGCTCTATCCACCACAGAAGTTGAGTACATCGCTGCTACAGAAGCCAACAAGGAGCTCTTGTGGTTGAAGAATTTTATGAAGGAACTATCTCTCAAGCAAGAGAAGTACACTCTATATGGTGACAGTCAGAGCACCATCGACTTGAGTAAAAATACTACCTATCACTCAAGGACATATCGATGTACGCCTTCATTGGATCCGTGATGCTTTGGAGAATCGTCTTATGCACATTAAGAAGATTGATACAAACCAAAATCTGTCTGACATGATGACGAAACCTCTACCAAAAGAGAAGCATGACTTTTGCCGGAGAAAGGCAGGTATGACTACTGTTTGAAATTTTTCTCCTCATAAGGATGGAGGGGGAGATTTATGGGAATGGGGTCCATCCCCATGATGAATTAATATGGATTTAATCCATGGAGATTTTGTGGTTGACTACATGCATGCATTGATAGATTGTCTTTCCCCATGCATTGGGAAAAGGAATGGCTAGTCTTTGGACTTCCTCATGCAATGAATATGGTGTACTCAAGAGGCATATCCTCCCTATAAATAGAGGAGAGATGGTGAAGGTTGAAAACAAGAAGCAAGAACAAGAACCACATACAATCTGTAATCCTTAAGTAAGTTTGAGAGAAAGTTGTAATCCTCAAGTGAGTTTGAGAGAAAGTGATCCTCAAGTTAAGTTATACCAACTTGAGAAAAGACCTTTTGTAAGACTTCATTTGATTATAGTGGAAACAGTGAATGGGCGGATGGGAATGTAGGCTCAATTTGAGCTGAACCTCGGTAAATCTTGTGTGTGCAATCTCTCTTTGTGTTTTTTCCTCTTCTATTTTTGTTCTCATCTCATCACAAAGACAGGAAAGGTCTTGTTGTACTGTTTATTTCCCATCAGACATTCCGGTCCTCGCATTATTCTTTGAACCAAGCACCGGAGAGGTCGACTCATGGCCCGAAAATGCTCAAGAAGCGAGAGATGTCATGGAGAGGTACCTGAGCTCTAGCAAGAAATCTCGAGACGAGAGCACATTCAACCCTCCAAGCTTCAGTAAAGCTCAAACCTGCGAGCTGCAATCTGATCTCAAGAACGTCTGCCTCACTAAGCTGCAGAGAGCAAATCTGTTCATCAGATGATTCAGCAGCTTGAGAAAGGGGATATTATAGCTGAGGGAAGCTCTGAACTAGGGAACAGTACATACTTGCAAGACTTGATGCAAGACAGTATCAGGTGTGATTCTCCTTGTGAACTGATGATGCTTGGCCAATCTGAGGTTGTTAAGGATAGTAGTATGCCAGATATCGATTTAGTCCACGGGAGGATCGATTTTGCTGAGAATGGCAGCAAGAAATTTATTGTTTCCATTGAAAGTTTGGGGAAAAAGAGGATTGCATTCTGGAAGGATTTGATGATGGAAGATAGTATGCCAAAGTGCAGTTTTGGAGCTTTTTTAGACTCCCGACTGGACAATTTTGCCATAACGCCACCTGAAAATTCAATTGGGGTGTTTGATATCAATCCTCAGATGGTAAATGGTGATGGATGGGCAAATTGCAGTGATTTTGGTCTCGATTTTATGCAGAATTATCCCTCGATCAGTGATTTTGGTGCTCAGAAGTTTTTGCAGGAAGTATTCCCTCAGTTTATCTAAATAGAGTCATTGGTGGAAGGGGATGGGCTATGTTGGTTCAGTTACTGCTACATTTTTCCTGATCAGCAGTTACATATACATCTGCGGACACGGGCAATTTTGTATAGATTTATCATAGATTATTTTTGAGGGAAAATTTGTTTATAGATGTTTAACGTGAGTTATTGTCGTATTAGTTCAGTTGTATTACCTGAGATTTATTAATTGAAGAATGTTAATATTAATTGGTTGCGATTTTGTGTCCGTTGTTAAGTGTATTTGTTTCTGTTATTATTTTGCTTCAGTTTAAGGTTTGATTTTGGTGCTCAGAGTGATGTTGCTTTCCAAATTCCTTGTAGTATGTTTTTTGTGATAAATGTTGAAATTTTGCTGCTACAGATTTGAGCTGATGTATTCGTTCTGTTTTAGGCTTACAACAATTTTATACCTGAGAGCTGAGCACTTTATGTAGCTAACTTCTAAATTTTGCATATTATTATGAAAAGGAGAAACTGATTAATTATGATTCTCTTCAATTGTTCCTACTGTCAATAAATTGTTATTGTTGTTGATGCTTATTTAATTATAGGATTCTGTCAGTGCATTACTAGGAGTTGTGTTTTGGTTATGCAACTCTTTACTATGCTGTAATCTCTTCATACTTTCTGAACAGTTATCCCACCCCCCCCCCCCCCCCCCCCTCTCTTCTCTCTTAATATTGGCGGTGTCTCTGATGAGGATCATACCTGATACCTCTACTCTGACGTATCATTCATTTTGATTTATCCTATGCCTTGGCCCTTTTCTTTTATGTGAATCATTAACTAGATTTTGTATAATGATTTATCCTAGGCCTTGGCCCCTTTCTTTTACGTGAATCATCAAGTAGATTTTGCTCGTATCACTCCTTTTTGCAGTCGCTGATAAGAATCTTATGAACTCTTTAACACGTTCACAAATTTAGCATACTTCTCGTGGAGTGGAAAATAAGCTATTTGATGCCCCAGCATCAAGGTTAGTACTTTTTAGACAAGCGCTAGATGAATTTTGAACCCGAATTGCTCTTACATCTTAGGCCTCGTGTACCATATTGTACTAAAGTATCGTGTGATGGCTCAAGTACAACAAGGGAAGTACTGCTTCAAGTATCGACCAACAAAACATATCATTTAATTATATACTATATAATACAAGAAGAAATGAAGTTGCTCTTGAAAAAAAAAAAATCTTTTTATGCGTAAAAAAATGATACCAACTTCAATCTCAAGAGTTTGAGACCAAGATCCTCAAGAGTACCCTTACATTCCACAAGGTTAGTACCCAAGACAGCTAAAGATCAGAATGCTAGTGTATATGCTGCTGAAATTCTCTTAACGCAGGCCGTGAAGTTGGAGAAAGCATTTATACACAGCAAGGTTCACCTCCCAAAGCACCTCAGAACTGTGGAGGTCGTCGTTGACGACAGAAACTTCAATCCAGCGGCACCTCCAGGGAAATATGAAATTGCATAATATGCTAGAGCAAGAACCTGCATAATCCAATAATATATTCTTTAACATTTATGTCTCACCTGAAGTAATATTGCATTCTAGAGACAGCAAAGTAAAACATAAATCAGTTTATGCATATATAGAGATGTAGACAGTAACTACAAGAATTGGATTACACCACACACACACACAGAGAGAGAGAGAGAGAGAGAGAGAGAGAGAGAGGATGGGAACAGCACTCTGTCCAATAAGCGGATTTTAAAAAGCATCACTTCTTTGCCTGGGTTATTTTCTTAGGGTTGATCATTTTGATTCCTTTTCTTGTTAAATGGTATATTTGCGTCGGAAAGATGTTGAATTCATTTTAGTTTCTTTCTCTTTTTCCAATTCAACTAGAGTTAGAAGACCTATCAAAGTTAAGAGTTTTAACTTTCCTATTACTATTTATCAGCTTGTTCAGATATGATACCTTAGGTTTGATTTAATAATTTTTTGAAATTTTTTATAATTAAAAAATGGACTTGATATAGTATATATATATATATATATATATATATATATATATATATATATATATATATATATATATATATATATATATATATATATATATAGCGAGCCGAGAGAGAAATGGAGAAACTTGGTACCAAGTTGCTCCAAGCAACTTGGTAGTGATGTAGCCTAATCTTGTCCCTACATCTACATTGGAGTTGGTGAAGGTGGTTTAAGGCTCTATCTTCGAGGTGTGATGTAGGGGCCAAGATTAGGCCACATCACTACCAAGTTGCTTTAAGCAACTTGGTACCAATGTTCTCTATTTTTCTCATATTATATATATATATATATATATATATATATATATATATATTATATATTATTGAGAAATATGGGTATGCTTGGTACCAAGCATAAAAAGTTGTGCTTGGTAGTGAGGTGTCACATCTCTCTCCACTCATTCAAGTGTGGCGACCACATTCACATGGGTAATGAGTGGATGGGGATGTGACACATCACTACCAAGCACAAAATTTGTGCTTAGTACCAAGCATACCCATATTTCTCATATTCTCTCTCTCTCTCTCTCTCTCTCTCTCTTCTCTCTCTCTCTCTCTCTCTATCTATATATATATATATATATATATAGGTGAAAACTCCTATCAACTTAAGTGGATAGGAAATAGTTATCCACTAAACTTTTTATCCATGGATCTTGCCTAAGGATCTTTGCATGATATGAAGAGACTTTTTATATTAATAAATAAGTGGGCTAAAAAATTTTGGTGGATAACTATTCCCTATCCACTTAAGTTGATAGGAGTCTTGCTATATATATATATATATATATATAATATATATTATATATATATATATTGCTTGCCCCCACTAATATATGTCTCAAATATAAGGGAGAAAACACATATTGCACAGGCTCACCTCTCCCTCTTGTGCAAGGTGTTGGCGGTAAAAAGTTCTAGATGAGGCAGAAAATAGGAAAATGTTGGGATTTCTCCTTTGGTGCTGAAACAATGCGGTTCAGTTTCCCTTTCAGAAAATATAAACAGAGAGAAACAAATATAAACAGAGAGAAACAAATCTAAAATCGAATGAAAGCTTAATCCCAGTTACTACTAGTCAATCTCTCCTAACTATATTCCACCTCTTGCCAGTAAACGGGAGCGAGACCTAGACTGCTCTTTGGAGAATTTAATCATAAAAAAAGCTCTCCCTCAGTTGAGCCAACCCCCTCTGCAAGCAGGTAGCCAGCCTCCAGCCGGCTTCACTCAACAAACCCAATGGGCTTTATCCTTTCGTTGAGAAGGCGGATTATCTCCCTACCCACAATGAAGTTCAATTACGTCAACCTCCTTTTGCCTTCTATTCCGCCTAATTAAGTTCCTTCATCTTTTAACAATTATGAAATTGCATAATCATTAATAGCACTAGATTCTAAAATCAGTAAGTTGCAACTATCAATTCTCATATGGTTGGGCAGAAATGAGAATTCACCAAAGAGGCTTGCAGCTCATATGCATGTTAACATAGGTACGAGTGATTTGTCATAACATCTTTTAAGTACAAATAGGATACATCCCTCCAATCGTGTACCGTGGGTAGGTGGATGACTGGGTGGAGTAAGTTCCCTTACCTCATAAACTAGTTCCACCTAATTTCTGATAATTAATCCACCACTTATAATATATTTTTCAGTTTATCTTAGCTCCAGGAGGTTCCTTGTGCATTGGCGACCTTGTTAGACAATTCATTTCTGCTAGTTTCACCATTTTTAATTACTAGTTATATACTGGTTATAGGTGATAGGCTGATAGCCTTGTGATCAATACAGACTTGTCCCAAATTATTGTTCTTTCTGCTGGACAATTATATAAATCAAGGCTGATTGTAGTTAATTTTCTATTTTGGTAGCTTCCTAACATTTGCCTTGTGTAAATAATGAATTTATAGCTGCTTATGACTGTGGAAATAATGTATTTGTCCATTGAGGGACATATATGTGTTTATATGGACTTGTGATTAGGGAAGCAAAAAAAAAAACTGTATCCAAAGAAATATCATCATCCAATTTTGGTTACTAATATATATATCCGATAGGATATGGTTACGGATATGGATATGTAGTGAAATATCTAGGTCCGTAACCAAAATATCTAAAAATATGTTGGCCATCCAATTGCAATAGTTTTAATCCCTTATATTAATAGATTTGAGTTCATTTTTGATGATCAAGAGATCGAATCTTAGCTTTTCGGATATAAAGAACATAGTAATGAACTCTCTTGTATCATATGAACTATATTTTTCAATAATGTTTCGTTTACTCATATCTGTTTTGTATCCGCACATTGTTATCGAGGCGCGCGCCCCGGGCGCGGGGCGCTGCGGGCTGGGGCAATTGCGCCCCGCACCAAAGGCGGGGCGTTGCACGCACACGAGGTGCGCGCCTCGTACGCACTTGACACCTGCGTCATGTAATATACTCTTTCTTCTATTTTTTTAATAATTTACATATTACATAATTACGTCATGTAATAGACTCTTTATTGCTAGTTGCTAATCCATTCTTCATCTTTTCATGCTTAACCTATAAAAAGAAAACAATAATTAGTAATTTAGTATGCTTGTTTGCTAATCTTAACTTCCTTCTCTAATTAGCATGCTAACTAAAAAATTATGAACATGTAAATATGTAATTGTTACCTCCATTCTCTATCTTTTCATGCTAACTAGCAAATAAATTATGAACATGTAAATATGTAATTGTTACCTCCATTCTCTATCTTTTCATGCTAACTAGCAAATAGCAATTAAGAATGCTAACATGTAATTGTTACCTCCATTCTCTATCTTTTCATGCTAACTAGCAAATAGCAATTAAGAATGCTAACTAAAAAATTATGAACAATCATGTTTTTTAAATCACTTAGTTGTTACTTAAAAATACATATATCATATTTTAAATAAAATACATATTTTTTATTTGTTACTTGCTTGTTTTGTTTAATAGACTTTTGTTTATGTTGGAGATTATCTTGCATTGTGATTTGTGAAAACTTATGAACTTCTCTATGTTATGCATGCTAATTAAGACTCTTTCGTGATTTAGTCGGTGAAAGTATATTTCTTGGTTTTTTTATGTGATAATTTATAAACATGTTGCTTATATGCTTCTTTGTCTTTGTTTGGATCAAAAGTTGATGTTTTCATTGATGATGAACTCATTACAATTTCAACCACTACAATAAGTTCAAAAGAAAGAAAGTCGATCTTTTTATAAGATCTCCTTTATACAATGAAAATAAAGATTACAACCCTTGTCAAACAGCGTAACGGACGTTTATCACCCGCTGCTTGCGTGAGATCTTTACCTGTGTCGGGGACATCGATATCCGTGGATCGCCACGGATCAAATCCGGTTGACAGAAAATTGACAGAACCCCTACTTCACCAAGGAAGTATTTGCTTGAAGCTCTGAAATCGACCAAGCGAAATCAGTAGCTCTTCTCGAGATTAAGACCAAGCCTAATCTCGAGGAACGGACGGACGGGGAGAGATACGGGTTCAGACCCTTCGAAAGCCTTCCTCTTTATGCTGAAGTTCGCTGGGATCTGACTTGCCTTCGCTGTAAATTCGTGCTCCTTTGACTCCTCAGTCCGACAACACCTCGCCCTCTTGATAATAATCCCCCCTGTGAATTGAACCCCTAGGCCTGTATTTATAGGCTTCGGTTGGGAGGTTTTCGGATAAGAATGAGTGATTTGGCCTTATCTTCAGTTAATAACGGCCTAACCACGTTTGTAGATGATATCTAGGCAGTTAGGAACCTCTGGAACAGAAGAAACCGATCGAAACAGCCTAAAAACGTGTTTTGGAGGTTACTGGCAGTTCTGGGCGCGAGACGGATGGATCCGACCCTCCGCCGCGCGAGACGGATGGATCCGAACCGCTCCGTCTGTTCAAAGACGGATGGATCCAACCCTCCGCCGCACGAGAAGGATGGATCCGATCCTCCGCCGTTCAAGACGGATGATCCGACCCGGCCGCCCGGCGCGGGTCAGTTTGAGATACCTTCGGTATTTTGGTCTTAACTTTCTCGTCCGACCTCGGATTGAGCTGGTTCAAAATGCGTTGGAAAGCTGACGAAGATACCTACAACTTTTATTTTTTGAGTTTCCTCAGATTCAAATTGTAACATGGTCTAAATACCTCTTCTTTTTGTGGGCCACTTTGAGGTGTTCGACACTTTCTGACTTCTCCGGACTTGTATTGTGTATTTCGTTATGCCGTTAACTTGCATGCTTTGTTAACTTGTTTCACGCGCTCGTTAGGTTCTTTATGGCACTTTGGATCTGCCTGACGGGCACGTCGGGCACTTTGTTCGCCGTTTCGCTTCATGCGCTTGTCGACGTCAGATAATCCTCTTAGACTCGGACAACGACGTTCGTCGTCTTCTCTCCGTCTCGAGCTATGTGCGGACACCCATAGGTATTTTTAGACGCCTACAGTCTTATGTTGGAAAATATTAGTTTGAATTGTGCGCCTCAATTCAGTGATGCACGCGCATCGTTGTGCGCCTTGCGCATGGTGCGCGTAAGGAGCCTTTGCGCCCCGCATTGCGCCTTGCGCCTCGATAACAATGTATCCGCATGTATATTCGCTAATGTATCCGTATATCCGTATCCATATTCTATTTTAGCGGATTTGGATATAAACTTACCGAGACATTCGTATATGTATCCATCATTGTTTTAAAAAGCAGTATGGGCACCCGCCTTGATGGTCGCTTATACCTAAGCCGTATCTAGCCCGCTCGTCCAAGTCTTGGGAGCGCCTACAGGAGAACGGACTACTTACACGAACTATACGGTGTTAGAAAGAAGTATATCGGTCGCTTAAGCATAGTAATGATTGAAGAGAGTTAGCAGGTTTAAATGTACCGCGGATTAAAATTCTATGTCCAAGTCTATCTCAAGTAAAATAGTGAGGATATGATTTGAATCTTCGAAAACCATCCTACATGTCTCAATGCTAAAAACGTCTATGTGCAGCTTAATTGCCCGCCTAGGCGCCTGGGAGCTAGGTTTGGTGCCTAAAAACACCTAGTGCTTTCTAAAAACATTGGTATCCATACCCATATCCATGATTAGTAAGCGGTTACGAGTAGGTTAAGTATCATATCCGACCGTTCACACCACTACTTGTGAGGATATATAGGAATATTTACACACTATGAATATATTAGTGAAAATTTGTCTTTTAAATGGAAATATTGATTTTAATGAATGTAATCCAATGGTTAACTCTTAGAACTCTATAGGAGAGAAATTTCAACCTTGGTATGCACCTTGTTATAGCTACCAATTTTGGAAAATGCTAGTAACTAGATGAATAATGAACGGTTCAATAACCGAAGCTAGATACCATTTTAAAGTAACTAATGATTCATACTTCCCATTGTTTGAAAAAGCTTTTTGGAAACTCTTGAAACTTGCTTCAAAACTTTTTTAAGGACAAATGTTTCAAAACTCAAAGGAGAAACTATTTATCCCTTGAAGCATAAGCCTCATCGCTTAAGCGTAACTAAAATGTGCGCTTCACGCTCCGTACAGCGCTTCTATTTGAAGCACACACTTAGACAAGAGGAAACAGATTTTTGACTAAAATTAAAATGCCCTTATGCACCTTCATTATTAGTATGTGACTATAAATAAGATACATATCTTATGTATTTAACTTGGTTTATTATGATTTGCATCTATATTTTGCATATTTAATTCTTATTTACTAATCAATACATGAATGAATCTATTTGTTTATACCATTATATACTATATGTTCGTAATATTTATAATTTTAAAATTAAAATATTCTTAACTCATGAGGCTTGCGCCTCACACTTTGAAGCTTACGCCTTGGTTCATGAAAGGCTCTAATGCTTCATCTTGTAGTTACGCTTTTTTAAACTACTGCCTAGTGTTGCCTCAATAGCGAATAAATAGTTAGGTGGTATACATAGATTGAGTTCCTAAGTAACTGCTGAAAACTTACATCAAGACAAAAGGAGTTAAAAGTTATTGGTACCTGAAGCCCAGAGAAAACAACAGAGAGAATATAACTGTGAAGAACCATGGACACATAGACGGTACCCACCATGCTTCCGAGGAATACTAATGTGAAAGGAATTCTCTGCGCAAAGAGAAGATACATCATAATAACAAAGCATTAGATTTAGTACAGATATAACTGATAACATATTTATTTGTAACTTTAAGAAAATCAGAACACCACATTTGAGGGCAAATTTAGGATCTGAGTACAATGTGTTTCACGATCCCAGTTTATGAGAAAAAGCAGATTCTAATGTAAATAATCATAAAGCCTGCTACATTTGAAAAGAACAACTGTCAGTTATGGTAAAATAAGCTACACTCTTAACCTATAATGCTTATACCAGTAAAGTTTTGAAGATAAAAAAAGAGTGTAATGCCGGGATTAATGTAAACAGGATAGGGAATCTCATTAAAAAGAAGTTGCAAAATCTAGAAGTCATATGATGAATTATAGACTAAGCTACTTCTTGATGCTCACTATACTATGAGAAGTGAGGTCTAGAATACTATAACAAAGAACAAACTGGAATACCTAGTTTAGAAAGGCAGCTTGACTTTGTTCGTCCTATAGAATAAACGTTTTTGATTTCTACAAGTTTTTGCATGCCTATGCCAAATTCCTCTAGACCATATATCCAATTTTAAAAGTTATGCCTCAAGTGCTTTTAATTCCCTATATAAAGTTAGACTCTCCAGATTGTTGCCTGATATCTTCAACTCACTGCACACACTTTAACATGGTGTCTACTGAGCTAGTTTATTTCCTGACATTTAGCCAATTTCTCAAGAAGAAATAATCACCAGTCTTGTACAACCTTTCTTAGTCACCATAACAATTCTATTTTTTTTAATTAAAAAAAAAGGTCATCCAACATTGTAACAGGGACTACCTAGAGACAAGAGACTCAAACTGAATTTAGGTCAGTAAGACAAAAAAGAAACAGGTACAGCTTGAAAATAAAGAGAACCCAGTTTAGCCGATGAACCATAAACCAAAAATATATTTGAACAAGAACTCATAATCGCAAGCTGGTTAGATGAGCTAAACAACAGAACCAAGCGAAGAAAACCCCACTAAACATTTGAATAAATCTTTTAGTTCCCAATTCTCAACCTCCCTATCTTTATTTAGACAACGGTGCGTGATAGCAATTTGAATCATCGTCAACATCAAAACGTCCTCTCATTAAAAAAAATGATGGTTATTTAGTGGGACTTGTATTGAGAAGACTCCATGTAGTTCTATAGCATCTTCAATATCTTTTTGCAGAAATTTTTTCTTAATGCTTCAATGACATGTTTCCATGTAAAAAAAGACTTCCAACTTCTACTGTTAGTACTTGATAAGAGAACTCCATAATGTATGGAGAAAAAACAAGTATATAAAATCATCTTCTTCCAGCCATGCTATCAATCTGCTAAAATAAAAAACATGATAGCAGTTTTCCTAAGGCCAATAATACACCATGTCACCACCATCTCAACTTTGTACCAAATAACATGAACACAAGAAAAATTTCAGGAAAGATACCTCTTTTGAAAGCATGTGGGCAAGCTGATTCCTGGGACCTTTAAGAGCGAAGAATGAGCCAACTATCATGGCACATCCGAGGGTAAAACAGATAGCAAATTTCTGGGGCACCAACACCATGGCAGGAAGGAAAACTGTAAAAGCAATGAAAATGAAGAAGATACCGCTGGCAAGAAGCAAGCCAAAATACATAAGAGACTTTCCAGAGGGAACAGTGCTAGTAGCAGTCTTGAAGCTCCCAGGCAGTTCCTTCATACCCTTAGAAACACTGGAATATCAAAATGCCAAATAGCAAATGCAATCAGTGACCGAAAGATTAAAACGTACTTCTTAATGCTAAACTGGGAAGTAAACAGCAACTTGTTAATGCTAAATATAGCTAATATTTGACTGGAAACTACAGTTTCAAAGTGTTCGCCCACGAATTGACAAGATCTTTCACATCAGGTGGCAAACACATAGGGGTAAAATTATATAAAAATGTACGTAATAGATCCGTGTAATTGGCATGAATATCATGTGCACCATCCATGAATACAACAAAAACAATTGTCTTCACAGGCATCACACATGCACAGAAAAATAGATACATGTAACTGGCATGAGTATCATGTACATCATTATATAAATTGCTTTTAAAAGGACACATACCCAGTATTAGCTGTACATGTTGCAGATAGAAACCTGGTTACTAGTACATATGTCGCACACAATTTTTGACTGCTCATTGTTACACTCAAACTGAACAGGGAAGTCAGAGATTCTTTCAGATACCAAAAACTACAAAGGGGTATTTATAAAGAGTCCAATGCCCTTTATGTTGTCTGCTGAAGTTGCTTCATAAGGGTGGGGAAAAAAACCAAAACAAAATTTATAGATTTAATAGTAGAAGTGGGAAACATCAGCTTATGAGCTTCTGGATGTTGATTATCTTTTCTCCACAAAATAAAAAGATGGTTAAGTTTGACATGATGAGGCATAAATTACCATGTAGAAGATTAGTTAGGTATGAGAGGTGCAAATTTCCAATAAAAAATGGTGTGCACATAGTAAATATACCACTTTGCAAATACAGAACGAAGTTTAATTGTTTCAGACAAAAGAAATAAACACAGTTAAAATGCTGATTCATAATAAACCAAACTTGAGAATGATATACTTCTGTTGCACATAAGTAATCAAATGGTTATTTCACTAGATTCATGTTTCACTAAAATAAGCTCAAGTATATGGCCAACTAAAGCGAAGATGCATGATCAACAGAGAAAGTTCTATAATTAGATCAAGCACGGTTGTACAGCCAGTTGATGAGTTAATATGAACCCTTAATCCTATTATAAGCCCATATATAAATGCCAGGGGAAAGCAGGACATGCCACCTATGAAAGGAATAATGTATTACAAGATTAACAAATAGACTTAAGTGTAAAATTACAAAAAGCACCTACAATTACAAGAAATAACATGGATAATGTTTTACATGCCTGAAGCCTAAAAAGCAACATCAAACATGAGATGGTCCATAGAGACATTATACACTTCAAGTTTCATGCTATTCTCATCTACTGTACCTACCAAATACTGTCCTACCACCCATCGACCCGTGGGTTAATCAATGTGTTGGTCAAAAAAACTACTTATATCTATTCTAGTTTTCAATCTAGGGATATTGGATACAAGATGCCATCTCATTTTTAGCAAAATGGGTCACTAAAAGGCACAGGAGACTTTCTCCCTAGTCTCTCTTGGCTGCTCATTTAGGAAAATGAGCTACCACATCATACCCAGCTTTTCTATATGGGGGAAAAACTCTTTTCTTGTTTGTTTATTTATTTATAGTTCTTAAATTCTGCTAGCACTATGCTTCTTTTCTAACTCATCAATTTTTTCCCCCTCCCATTTGTTCCTCTTTCCCCTTTATTGTAATAACTAAACATAAACACAAACAGTAGAAGCTGCTAAGATTCTTCTAACTTCAATCCAGGCCAAAACTTTAAACTTGATCCTCAGCCTGAAACCTCAATCAATTTAAAATCTTTTATCCATTTTTAATCAACATCGTATCCAACCAAATTCGATCAACATTGCCCTCGATTTCTTAGTACCTAAACATATTCAGGTATTAAAATCTTTTATCCATTTAATCAACATCAAACCCAACCAAATTCGATCGACATTCCCCTCGATTTCTTAGTACCTAAACATATTCGGGTATTAAATCCAAAGACAGCAATCAAAAGGGGGAAGGGGGGGAGAGAGAGAGAGAGAGAGAGAGAGCGAGAGAGTTACACGCTGAAGGTGCCGGCGACCTTGTCGTTGGCGGACTTGACGGCGGCCTCGATGTCGAACCCTCCACCGGCGTCGTCGACGGATGTCGAGCTGCTCGGACCGCCGGAGAACCAGCCCTGAGCTGCCTTCTGCATCGTTCGAGGGTTGAAGGAGGGATCGGAGATCGAAATTAGGGATCAGGATTTTCTTTCGGGGGTTGAGAAAATTTTGAACATTGTTTTGTTTTCCTCCTCCATTACTGGGCGAATTTGAGCTATGAGACGGGGGGACGATTCTGGGGGAGTGAGAATCTCGTGGATGGGCCGGGCCAAACTTGCCAT